CCCGAAACAACGTCAACACAAAGTTAGAACTTTGGAGGGATGCTCTAGAATCCAAAGGTTTTAAAATTAGCCGGAAAAAGACAGAGTATATGGAATGCAAGCTTAGTAGTAATAGGAGTAGAGATGAGGAAGTAGTTAAGATTGACGGCTAAGAAGTGTTGAAAATATGGCCTATCAAGGCCTAAATTCCAGTAGTCTCTCATTCAATGGGAGCGATTGAGAGATTTAAATCTTAGCGTCTTGCGAAATGAAGCCCAGATTCTTTTACCCCGAGTACGCATGAGGCATCGAGAGTTCACGTATTGAGAAACTGCTTTATCAAGGAGGTGAGGGTGATCTCCTAGTCAGGATTTTATAGGTTAGCATCATGTTTAGCTGCAATCGGCCAGGGTTTGGAGAATCCAAAAGAGAAAAATAAAACCCGAGTACTAATTGAGTATTCGCCCTGTATGGAATGGTCAAGACTTATGGGACATAAATCCGTATCCTGACAGGAGACCATTGCATGGCATGTGCATTTTCATTTCGTACGGGAAGCCACTCTTCCAAATGCATTATCTGAGTTTGGAAGAGCCAGTGCACATGTGCTTTGAGAGGACCCCTGTAATTAGTTAGATCATGTCCCACAGGGGTACACCTGTAATCCATTGAGAGCCGAATGATCGGAAGTTCTGGCTCAGCAGCTTTGATATGACCAATTATGTGTCTCTGCTTTAGACTGTGGAACATAGGTCTATTGGGTCGATCTAAGACTCGACGGAACATCATCCGGGACTAGCCCATTGTACTCCAATACCTATAGTTATTAACCTGATATCTCACTATACCTTTTGTCCGATTTTATAATGATGAGAAAAACCTAAAACTTGCTCAAAAATACTTTAAATATTTATTATAAATTTTAGAGAATTTTTCAGAAATTTATTTGCTAAAAAAATGAGGGTTGTCAAATTGTTTAACTCAAATTCTACTTTAATCCTAACATGGCAGTGTCATGTGGTGTCCGAGTCACCATAGGGCTGCCACGTGGCACCCCAAGCCTCACTGCTCAGCTAGGCGTTATCCTTAGCTAGGGGACTAGATTGGCATTTGGTTGCATGTTTTATAAAGGGTTGTGTTATGGTGTCTTGTTATATATTGTTATATAATGTTATAAATTAAGGCCCCCTTTTTATCACATGTCTTAATTAATTCACACATGGGTCATGCATGGCATGTGTGAAGCTTAATTAATTAATTTATTTAATATTAAAGAGAAAATGCATTTTCAAATTTGAGTTGAAAAAATATCTTCCCACATGTGTGAAGCGGACATTATCTTTAAATTGATTGGTTTGAAATTTTAGACCTACAAAGTGATTGGCTTTGATAAAGTAGAATGTCTCCATATGTGTGAGCTTTGCCAATTACTTCTTTGCCCTTTAGCCTTTGTGGTTATCTACTCTAATACATTATTAAAAAAACTAAAGGTATATTTGTAAGGCCATATTGGATACAATTGGAAGAAAAACATGGGCCAAGGACAAAATGGTAAAATGGCATAGCCTTAAGGTTAGGATGAGTGATAATGATGTGAAATCCCATCCCTTCATCCTAGTGGTTGGATGGGGATGGGGATGGGTGGCTAGGTACATTAGCCTCTCATGTACCTTTGGATTAGTGCATCAACGGTATTGATTGAGTCCAAGGTTACACCCATGTTATAAGAGCACATCATGATATCTCAAACCCTAACTATCTTAACTCTTGACCTATTTTGAAAAATTGCTGCTCCCCTCCTTCTTCTAATGTTTTGTGAGAGAAAATTGAAGAGAGAGAGCTTTTAGAGTTCCATTAATGGTGATATTGATGGTGGTCATCTTTTCTTATGCTTAAGTCCATAGTGTGCATTTATCAAAGTAAACTCCATCGAATTTTCTTTTCTCATAAGATCATATTCTTGGCATCTATAGTTACTGGAGTTTTAAATTTAGCAAAGTTTCATTGATCTTGGAATCCCCATTTGATCATCTTTTTCATCATGCTTATTCATAATGTGGTCCTTCATGAGTTATAGCCTATATGCATAAGAATCCATAATCATGCATAGTATCCATTGATTACTTTGCTTCAAATCCATCAAATAATTTAGTCTCAGTGTCACTCAATTTCCAGAACTTTTTCATCACGTTTTTACCTATGGGGGTTTATAATATTTTCATACAAGATTGTTTTGGTGGTCTGAGGAACCACCGTGTGTAGGTTGGCTATAACTCTCTGGTTCTTTTTCTGATTCGATTCAAACCTTATGCATTATGTTTTAGATGATACAAGTGTGTTGAGATCCTAAGAAGTGATTTTACGGTGTGTAATTGCTTTCCATTTGGATAAGACACTCTTGTGAGATTGAACCACTTTTGTACAATCTGAAGGGACAAAATTAAGTCCTTATAGGGCCCGATTGCGTGGCCCCGACACAAGGGGTTCGAAACATGGCTTCCCTATTTTAATTTGGCATTTTAATTCCCTGTTTAGTAGATTTTATTCTTTAGAATTTTGTTTTGCATGATGTATTTAAGCTTTGAGACATAGTTTATGTAATTTGTGTTATGAAAGTATAATTCATAAGCTAGTCTTGCTTTATATGTAATTGCCCAATAAGGGGTTGGTATTTGAGTTTATTTATAGTGGTTATACAAGGCTAGAAATGGTTGTAATTATTATTTAAAGGATTGTAACTTATTCACTTAGCTTGGTTTTTAGCACGTGGCTTGTTGAAGGTGTCCATTTTGTTTTGTTTTTTGGCTTGAAAATTTTCTCTAGTCTTTGTATCCACTATCAAGAAGTACATAAAAGACCGCACTTTAGATACCTTGAGTTGATAATCCAAGAAAATGAAGAGATTGAGGAAGATGTCGCATATAAAATTAGAACTGGGTGAGCAAAGTGGAGATGTGTAACTGGAATTTTATGCGATCGACTCATACCAATGAAACTGAAGGTAAGTTCTAAAAGACAGTTGTGAGACCAGCTTTGCTTTATGGGGCAGAATGTTGGGTGGACAAAAAACAATATACTCACAAAATGAGTGTAGCGGATGAAGACGTTGAGATGGATGAGTGGCAAGACAAGAAGGGATAGAATTCGAAATGAATCAATTCGGGAAAGTTTAAGTGTGGCACCAATAGGCGATAAGATGAGAGAGAATAGACATAGGTGGGCCGGCTATGTGCGGTATCAACCCAGTACAACACATGTTAGGAGGTGCGAGTTAGTTCAAGTGGAAGGATTGAAAATGGCAAAAGGTAGGCCTAAAAAGACGCGGTTGGAAGTAGTTCAAAAAGATATAAGGACTTATGGCCTC